CGATATAACCATCGGGATGAACACCCAACGCGCCGAGTACATGATGCTGCCCCCACTGCAGCCCACCTACGACGAGAATGGCGAGCTCGCCGAGACGGTCACCTTCAACGCCTCTCTCATGAATGAACGCAGCGGCGATGGCTCCGTCTCCAACGAGGACCTCGAGTCCCAATCCGCCGTCGTGCGCGTCGTTCTGTTCCCTCTCGTCGTCAAGAAGGGCGACGACACGGGCGACGGCGACGAGGAAATCGTCGTCTGCCCCGCCCAGGTTCTTGTCGCCCGCAACCACGACAAGCGCCGCTCCCTCTCGGGCAACGCCGGCCGTCTGCTGACGCCCTCAAGCGACGCCGGCGGGGCCGCCCTGTCCTACACGAACCGCAGCGACATCAGCATGCGCACCGACGGCACCTACAACCCGCAGCAGGCTCGCACCCCCGAGGCCGAGTACTTTGCCGGCGGCATCTGATGGATGCCTCGAACGGAATGAGGGCAAGAGCCCCCTCACAAAAAACAAACAAAAAGGAGAGACGGGAAGAAGATCGTTGAGATGACGATGATTTCTGTATTATGATATCCCGGGTGTCTTTTGGATGAAAGCCTCTTGCTACATTTCTTGCACTACTTCGTTTCGGAGTCTTGTTTTTTGTTTACCAGGACATGCCTGCCTGGTCACACTATTCTGTGTTTTCCTTTCTCTTCTCGTTTGAGTGGTGTGTTATCGCTTGGGTTTTAGTTCTCTTTTGGAAGTTGTATCATTGTCGACAAAGATGCGCATGATAGATTTGCGCCTAATGAATCATGACCTGTTCACTCTGGCTGTCGTTCTAGAAATCTGATTTCAGTGATGTGGTGTCGGTGATGTGGCTTTCATGATGCGAATCCAAGCATGTGAATCGGTCCTTCGGTGAAACGCGAACAGAGGCTGAACGGTACCGTCTATATTCTGCCAGTAGTGTTCCGGCACGGGTATATGGTATATGGTCCTAACATCAACATACATGTCTGTCCGTGGCACCCCCCCGACTAAGGCCCCCCCAGGTCGGCATTTCTCCGCCTCCACATCTCCAGCACGCGCCCCGTCTTCTCCGCCTGCTCAACCCCAAGCCTGCGCTGCGTCAGGTCGAGCGCCCAGTTGAGCCTCGCCGTCCGCCCGGGCTCGCCCCTCTTGAGGTCCCGCACCGCGACCCGGACGACGGCCTCGAGCCCCGCCGCCGGCAGCGTCAGGCCCTGCGCCGCGAGCCAGGCGTTGCAGCGCGAGACGTGCCGCAGCGCCGCGCGGTCCGAGAGGTGCGGGGCGCGCGAGAACCAGACGGCCATGTCGGCGACGAGCTTTTGCTTCGTGCGGAGGCGGAGCTCGGCCGAGCGCGTCGAGCGCATCATGTTGGTGGTGGTGGTGGTGTTTTGTTGGTGGGGATGGCGGCGCGTGCGCTCAGCGGGCGATTCCGAGTGGAGGACTTCCCAGACGAGGTTGGGGTCCACGTCCGCGTCGAGGATCATGGGTTTGATATACGGGTGCCAGTCGTTCCAGGACCATGTGCGGAGTGCCGCCGGCCTGTTGGTGCCGCGGTGGCGTTTCATGAGCTCGTACATGGCTGTCGCTATTCTGTGGTCCTTGCTGGCGAGGGCGATGGCTCTGAAGCCCACTTCGATGAGGCTGTTGCTGTTGCTGCTCTGGCGCGTGCGGCAGTACTTGTCAAAGGAGGCGAGAAAGCCGTCGATCATGTCGAGGCGGCGCAGCGCGCGGAAGAGGCTCATGAGAAGGCCAATGCGGTGGCTGCCGCCGTCGCCGGGGTGTTCGAGGGTGCCAATGTGCCAGGCGAGGGAGCTCATACTCAGTTCCTGGTCGGTGCTGGCTTCACGCTTCCATGCGCTCTGCACCTGTCGCGCGTTGCGCAGGTAGCCGCGGCTTTGCCACTGCTGGAGGAGGAGTTTGCTGAGGTCATACGAGGGTGCTGTTGAAGATGCTTGGCCAAAGATAGAGGAGCGAGAGCACGCTTCGAGGAGGAAGGTCGTGTCGACCTGAGGCATCCTGGCGAGAATGTCAAGCCACCGTAGGCGACGACCATGACCGATGTGTGACCCCTCATGACGCATGGCGACAGATTCCATGCCGGCGAGCAGTGCGGCGTGTTCTCGGGGCGATATTCTGGCTAGGGCGTTTGCCATCAGCGGTGCCGACAATTCGTATACCCGCGCAGGAGCGGCGAGCCACGTCTGCAACGCCGCGTGTAGACCTTCTCCCAGGCGATTCATGTGCTGGTCCGGCACGACGGTAAGGATGGTGCAAATCAGTTCGGCACTGGCCCTGCTGGCCGGCAGCTCAGAAACCCGACGAAGTAGTGTGTTGCAGAGGTGGGGGCTGGCCTCGGCGAGACCCTGAACTCTCGAGTACGCCATGCCTTTGATGATAGCTGAGAGCAATGCAGTGGTGGCAGAACGCGCGACCTGCGGATCTTGCCGGGCCGCTACAATGGCAGCTGTGAAAGAAGAAAGGGCTTTTGGTATGGCTTCCAAGGTGAGCAGCCCCAGGTAGATGTCATGTTGGAGGCGGTCCATTGCGAGACGGAAATCGGGATCAAGCTTGACCAACGATTTCAGCAACGCCTCACGCGTCTCCTCGAGCCTCTCGGAAAAGTCATCAGAAGGCTGCAGCACATCATCGTACTCTTGTCTCGGGTAGTCAACGGCTTCCTCGGCGGGGAGCAGCTGATCCACCCACGTGAGCAGAGACCACGACTTGGGCGGCGGCGACTCCTCCATTCTCAGCCGAGACGCAGGCTCAGTAGGCGGGGACCACTTCCACTGCGTCAGGTCCGCAGGAAACTCGATGAGCCATGGCGGCAGCGTGGGCTGGAAGTCTGCCGAGTAGAGCCCTGTGATCCTCCTCTTGCCGAGTCTCTTGCGGTTCTCCAAGGGCCCAGGCACAGAGCTCGAATTGCGACGCGAGAGCCTCGAAGCGTGGCAGTATCGCTCAAAGGCACTGGCGAGGACGCTGTCGGTGATCCAGACATTGTCGAGGGGGGCGCGGAGGTGTTTTACGGCTCGGCAGCATCGCGCTGTCGGTCGGGTCGGCATTGGAGCCGTTGTGTGGAGGACGTTTCGGTTGCTTGAGATACCATGTGTCGTCACGGCGTTTCCATGGCCAATTGGGTATTTAGACAGTCGACGAGAGGTGATGGCGTCGATGGATACAGATGGGTGGTGTGGTTGATTGTGTGTGCAAGAGCTGGATTTCTGTAGAGTCGGAGACGAGGCTGACACGACAAATTGGAGCTCTGGTATTGGTATGGTCAAGCCACAGTATCCCCACATATTTGCCCTCCTGGTTGCCGATGCACCAGCCACGCGTCATGAGCCAACAGGGTTGTGGCTTACGTCTGTCGACCAGCCGAGCTGCGTCGCCCCGCGGCGTTGAGTTTGGCGGGGAACAAAGAACGGACGAGACGGTCAGCCTGGCCGTCCACTCAGTCATGCTCAGCTCAGCGGACAATGCCGACAGGTCGACAGGTCGTGATGGCGGGGCACTCTTGAAGACTTATGCTTTTCTATTTCCCCCCCTCCCGCGCGCCCCCTGTCCTACACCAACAACTCCCCGCTCACGATCACCGACAAGATGGCTCACGACTTCCCCCCTCTGAAGAATGACCTGCTGCTGCGGGCAGCACGCGGTATGTGCGAGGCGTCCCGATGCGAATCGCATCGCATGTGAAGCCGCGATCCGCTCACTAACACGAACGAACAGGTGAGGTCGTTGAGCGACCCCCCTGCTGGATCATGCGACAAGGTGAGCTTCTCTCCGATCCTTTCCCCTCCAAAGAAGCAATGCACCTCGGCTCTCATGCTGACGGGATGACTCTCCAGCCGGCCGCTATCTCCCCGAGTACCACGAAGCGAAGGGCACCAATGACTTCTTCGCGTGCTGTCGCTCTCCCGAGATCGCCTCAACCCTGACGCTCCAGCCGATCGACCGCTTCGACGGCCTCCTCGATGCGGCCATCATCTTCAGCGACATCCTCGTCATCCCGCAGGCGCTCGGCATGACGGTCGAGATGGTCGACAAGAAGGGTCCGCACTTTCCCAGCCCCCTCACGGGGCCCGAGGACCCCCAGTACGCCTCGGTCATGGCCGTCGACCTGCCGACGGCGGCGGCCGAGCTCGACTACGTCTACAAGGCCATCACGATGACGCGGCACAAGCTCGCCGGCCGCGTGCCCCTCATCGGCTTCTGCGGCGCCCCCTGGACGCTGCTCTGCTACATGGTCGAGGGCGGCGGCACCAAGCTCTTCATCCAGTCCAAGAAGTGGGTGTACCGCCACGCCGACGCCGCGCGCGCCCTGCTCCAGAAGATCGCCGACCTCTGCGTCGAGTACCTGGCGCTGCAGGTCCAGGCCGGCGCCCAGGCCGTCATGGTCTTCGACAGCTGGGCCGGCGAGCTCGGCCCCCGCGAGTTCGCCAGCTTCAGCGAGCCCTACCTCGCCCACATTGCCGCCCACCTGCCCGCCAAGCTGCGCAGCCTCGGCCTCGACCCCGTGCCCATGACCGTCTTCCCCAAGGGCGCCTGGCACGCCCTCGGCCGCGCCTGCGACCTTGGCTACGACGCCGTCGGCATCGACTGGATGCAGGACCCCGCCGAGGCCGTCCGTATCCGCGGCGACCGCCGTGTCGCGCTGCAGGGCAACGCCGACCCCGGCGTGCTATACGGCACCAAGGAGGAAATGACGCGCGCCGCCCAGGTCATGGTCGACGGCTTCTGGAAGGAGAAGAAGGGCTGGATCTGCAACCTTGGACACGGTATGCCCCCCCCCCCCACTATTCTCCCACGCATCACTGACAGATGTACAGGCATCACACCCGGCGTCAACCCGGATGATCTCAAGTTCTTCCTCTCGGAAGTCCACCGCTTGACGCAGCAGTAGATGTGGAGAGCGAGAGAGAGGGAGAGGGAGTAGGACAAAAAATCGGTCGTTAGAGGGATCAAGGCACAGCGACGAAGTAGATCACTACGAGGAGTAGCAGGGTATGATCAAAATACACAAAGGCAGACACATAGCGGCGCATGAAAACTTAGGGTATTTTCGTCTTGTCATAGACTTACCGTCCTCGGGAATAAAGAAGAGAAGGAGGAGCACAATCGCAACTCCACAAACAATACGGACAAGCCCGCGAACAGAACGTGTTTCACTGTCACGATCGCATATCTTCGTTCTTGAGAAGGAGCGCACGATGTTGGAGAAATGGTTTCAATTCAAGTCATGTTGATTCATTTCCTCTCTCCGTCAAGAGGCCAGGGCGAGGTTTGCTATAAAAATAAAACAGTGGTATCTGAACTTTTGTGTTTTCGTGGATCCGACGCGGGGAATGACCCGTCATTCGTCATGAGAGTCCCCAATCCAACCCTCCAAAACTCCAGCGCAGAGACAGTAAAAATATTGGAAAAGAAAAAGCCGTGATGATGATAACATGTAGCAGAGGGGGTATCTCCGCGATTTGATGAGAGAACCGGACCAAAAAAGGTGTCCCAGTTGATGATGCTGCGCCGATTTTTTGTTGTTGAATATATAACCATGTTGGAGACGCCAATGAGCCAGTCGAGAGATGAGAGTCGCTGAGCAGTATTGGGATGGACAAGCCGGAAAAAGACGAAAGTCGACAAGTTGATCATGATGCATCAATGATGCCAACAGCGACCAAGCTTATGCCTTCTTGCCAGTGATGCTGTTGAGCCACGCCTTGCCCTTGGCAGCGAGCTCGGCAGACGAGCGCCTGCGCTTGTGGCTCGAGGAATCATCGTCATCAATGGCGTTCTCGATGGCAGCGGCCTTCTGGAGGGCGGCGTTGTCCTCCTTGAAGATGTTGGCGGCACCGCCACGGCCGTAGTGGGCAGCACCAGAGGAGGTGCGGCGGGGGGCACCCTCGACGTCCTGGCGCAGGCGAGTCTCGTAGGGGTCGTCGTTCTTGAGCATGTTGCCAGTGCCACCACGGCCAGTGGTAACGACGGAGGACTTGAGAGTAGGGGTCTGGAGGTCCTTGGTGGTGAGCTTGTCAAACTTGGAGCTGTTGGCAATGTTGCCAGCGCCGCCGCGACCGTGAGAGACGAGCATGTTGTTTGAGGTTTGGTGACTGTGGGTGTTGTGTTGCGGGTTGGGATTGTGCAGTGTGCGAGATGAAGATCGTGAGTCAACGATGTTGAGCTTCACAACAAGTAGTGCTCAATTTGGCGGGGTAATCGAAGAGGTAGGTTGCGAATGTTTTCTGTTTATAAGCTTGATGGGCCAGACCAGTTCGTCGGAGGGGAACAAAGGGACAAGAGGTTATATACCAGGACGAAGCTCTGTGTACCTCGCCTCGTGGTCAGACAACGGTCTGGGCACGTACCATGGAGAGCTCTGCCAGGCGCTTGAGCTTGCCCCTCACCTTCCCCCGGATACATCGCGACCAAGCTTTTGGATGGTCACAAGGACACCGAAAGTTTTTTTTTTCATTCCCTTTCGCCCTTGGCTTTCCCCCCTCGTACACCCCCTGGGCCCTCTGACTGTTCTGATTTCAGCATAGCCTGCAGTCGAGTCTCCACCGATGGCATCAACGGGGTCAGAAGTGTGCAAAGACCAAGGCGCTGGGACCCAAACGGAAACCATTGCCTAAGACAAACGTAATGAAAACAATGCTAGCCAGCCGTCGGGGCCACACGCGCACCCTCTAGACGCTCGCGCCATCGCCCTACCCGGCCCCGTCATGGCTACCATGATGGCTTGCCGTAGTACTTCGTGGCCCATGGATGGGTCGTGGCTCCCCTCAGGCTCCTTGATTGGGGGGTGGCCTTTGCACCCGTATCGTATGGTCCAGCGTCACTTGATCGCGTTCTCAGACAGAAGGTGCATCGCCTCGTTGTTTCTGTTGTGTTGTCTCGTCCCGAGTTGGCGAATGCACCAGAAATTGGCCAGAAGGTACAAGCTTGGTACTGCACAACCGGCAATGCCTACACTGCGCCTGGCTATGATGAGCCTGGCCAAGTCCATGATGTGAACCAAGCTGTGCTCGTTTTCTTGCGGCCGCCTTTGGGCCCCCCCCCGGGAACAATCCTGCACCTTTGCGGTCACCTGCTGTGTGTTGCGTGCTGAATTGAGTGCTTGTGTGACTCTTGGCACCGCTGCGTCGCCCCGTCGCTAGGCGCTTCGCATCACAGCTGCTCGTCTTCCCCACCGGTAATGAGTGAACAGGGAGAAAAATTCAACTTGCCCATTCCCTATGAGGCTGGACCAGAAAAACAGCCAGACTAGACCGAGCGAGCAATACCAGCCGTTTGCGTGACAACGTGACCATGTGTCGGCCGGCTCCTGACGAGGGCCCAGATTAAGCTTAGATGCGGGCGCTGCGAAACAGTTCAGGTGGTCTTGGAAGAGCTCTGGTGACCTCTCCTGCCGATCGTGCATTCCGCCGTGGTCTTCCAACGGCAGCGTATTCCCGATGACTCTCAGGGGTAGAGACGACGTGTCCCTCGCGAATCCCGCCCCCAATGAATATGTGTGCTTGTGACGCGCCATTGCGCCGCGGCACTGCCCAGTTGTGTGAGACCATCTGGTGGCGCAACCATGCAACACGTCTCTCTGCCATGCTGCGTTGACCTTGGAGATGAGCAGCACGCCAGCAGCACGCCATTCGCCTGGCTCCTGGTGACGAAATGAGTGTCTGGCAGTTGTTGTGCGGTGGCAGGTAGCCCTGGTGTGTGTGCCGGTCTGGTGGTGGTCCCGGCCCGGCGTGTTCCCACAGCGTCCTGACACTAAAAATTGACGAGACCTGCACCCCGGATTTTTGATCCTGGGCGGCTTCGACTGTCGCAGGGAAGAAAAGTCTAGCGCGTCTGGGTCGCCAAGAGAACTGTTGATCTCCCTTCAATCCTTGTGACCTGCTGAGTCCTGCCGCCTGATCAGGCGGCCCACAATAGCGCAAAATTTGCCTGTGTTGTGAAGTGGCAATGGGGCAATGCCTGGCGGCAGATGCCCTGCCGTTCGAGCACCGGCGAATGAAGTCACGAGAGCTGCTCCGCGGGATGCTTAATAATTAAGTAGCCAAGGACAGTTGAGGCGGCTGCGGTGCGCCGAATGGTTTCTGGAAGGACACCTGGTCTGCTGAGGGCTGAACGAGTAACGACCGACCCGAAGGAGACACGATAGACTGCATCTGTTCCAAAAGCCCCTGAGCTTGTGAACTGGACAGTGACTTCTTCTGGTGAGCACCCCGCAAATGGGACGTCACAGGGTCGAAAACTCTGACTTTGCGCTCGTGGCTTGGCAGTGGAGGACTGCCAAGACTGTTTGCAGTGGCCTCTCGGCCATTCTCCCTGTCCAGGAACAAGCTTCGCTAAATCCGGTGCCCACTTTAAGATCAATGGCCTGGTGGAGATGGCTAGTTTTCCTCAACGCTGTTGATGTGTCTCGGCCGTTCGATCTGCCGAGAAGGAACAATTCCAGTGCACACGAAACGAAGGGGGTGAAGAAAAGA